AAGAATAATCCCTTTAAGATATTTTGACCTGGGTTAGCAGCTCTGTTTGCAAAGTGTGGAGGCAAGACATGTTTCCACTGATGGTTGTGGTCGTGTGAAAAATTCACATTATGTGGTGACTGCATTTATTGTGATCATTTAAATAACTACCATAGGTCAGCTGTCTTAATAGCTATTTTCAACGTTTACAATATATGTATCAAAATAAACTACCCTATAGTTGTAGAGGAATATTAAGTACATCAAAATTTAGAACATCAGAATAAGAATCAGCCTTATTGGCCAAGTATGTGCACACATACAAGTGATTTGATTGGTTTTAAGTTGCTCTCAATGTACTTAGAAATAAACATACAGCTAAAAACAAGGGTAACAAAGCAGAACAAATAGTGCTTGAGCATAGAACTATTGTGTACATACAAGTAAGTGAGAAATAAATGTGTATATAAATATCTATGAAACGCTTCAACAACATATCATATCTATAAACACGTCAAACTTTCTGTTAATTGTAAACATGAATACAATCATGCAGAGTCCAAAGAGTGCTGGACTAAATCATTAATGTAATTGGTTATTTTATATACATAAAGTAGACGGTTATGTGTACAATCCAGAGCAAGACTTTGCTTTGACCAGAAGAAGGATTTGAATGTAGATTACAGTACATGAAGACTTTCCATCAGTGTATTATTGTGTTGTATAATTAGTTGTCTATATCTGATATAATATCTTTTAAAACATACCATTTGGCTACATTTTACACTTGAATGAAAGTATTTGTCCTATTAAACTTTTGTAGGCAACACATGTAAGGTCCCTTCATACCAGTGGATGTAGGCAGCATCAGGAGGCTGTAGCTGCAGAGTCAGAACCTGAGCCCCTCTCAGTTTTCAGAGCTCAGGAGAATGATCCAGTAAGTAAATCTGACCTCACCAGTGCAAATGTCGTCATCATGCTAACAGGTACACAGTGTTTGTAGCCGTGGTTGTTTGTGTTCACTGTCGGTTTCTTTCCAGGCATGTCAGTCTGAGAAACATTTCGGGCAGTATTACACACTGCCCTCTGCACACGTCCGCACAGTGTTCCCTCACGGACTCCCCTCGCGGTATAAACAACAGGTATGAGCTAACATCTATGATTGCATGCACATTATTTTAAACTTACTGGCTCATAGATGATATTTTGTGACTTGATTAATGGTTTTGTTTTTTGGAACTAGTAAAATATCTACCATGAAGACAAATTGTCATGTATGGATTTAGGTGAAGACGTTTAATGAAGCCTGTATGATGGTGAGGCCACCAGCTCTAGAGGTCATCTCTTCCCTGAAGAAAACAGACAACAGCAAACCTGCTGTGCGATATTTATTCTGTATCCTTTAAAATACTTGTTCTCTCTCTCTCACACACACACACACACACACACAGATACGCTTCTAATCTTGATGCTTCTGAATAAACCAGTCATTAACCTTATCACATTGTTCAGATGGGTTGAAGGGCAGTGGGAAGACGATGTCTCTCTGTCACACAGTCCACTTCTGCTATACACAGGGATGGCTGGTGCTGCATGTTCCTGACGGTGAGCCCAACACAGTCACACACTCCAACTGCTACCACTGCAGAAGTACAGAAAGTGTCAACAGTGACCCTCCTACATGTCTTTTTTTTTTATAATACAGCTCACCTCTGGGTGAAGAACTGTAAAGAGCTACTGCCCTCATCCTTTAACACCTCTCGCTATGATCAGCCATCACAAGCCACCGAATGGTTACGCAACTTCAGAATCACCAATGAGTCCTTCCTTTCAAAGGTAATGATTTTTACGCATTGTGCCTTTTTTGAACAGTCATCAGGCGATATTTATTTGAGCTGTGAACTCACAATATCAGCTTGACGTGTGCACAATGAGGCTTGTGGAGTATTACCAAATTTGTTACATTATTAACAAGCGTTTAGGCATTTATAGGCCTTAAATGAGCCGTGACTGTGTCTTCACAGCGGTCACATGCTGATATACATGAAGCCATTAAACTGCTTAATGACACCACCTGAATTTACCCACATCATCGCTGTAAAAGGAAGAGTTTGAAGTACAGTGTCTTTGCATAGCACAGTAGCAATATAACAGCACAATGGGGTATGAGTTTATTATTTTAGGGAATTATTTTACATGTTTCGATGTAATGAGGAGGGAGCAACTTAAGAACTCAGCCAGACTCTGCTCTTTAGCATGTAAAAAGGAGTATGAATGGAAAGGTTGCAACACCTTTAAAAATACTGTCTTATATTAAATATGGTTAAGTATTTGAATTATAGAGTGGATTTGACAATGTTTCTTTTATAGACCATCTAGCAAGTTAACACTGCTCAGGACTCGTGGCAAATTTCCAGTGGACTGTTTACACTCGCTTTTCGATAAATAAAGCAAACAAAAGACTTCCATTTCGTTTGAGATAATCCCCACAAAGCAACTCAGTCTTTAACATATTGACACTGACGCAATTATGTTAATAGAAAGCTTACATTACACATTTGTGTATGAAATATTTGTATCTTTATGTGAAGAAACTTCAGAAACCTGGTGCATGAATTAAAGGACCCAGTACATATAAACGTGGTCATTGAAACTTTGCTGTTTCTCCCGCAGATAAAGACAAAGCAGCGCTATGTGTGGACAAAGAGAGAGTCAACTGAGGAGGGAAGTACCCTAGGAGAGCTGGTGGATCAGGTGAGTCATCTCACAGTGCAAATGAATGCCCCTCCCCCTCTGGATTTTTCTGGCTCTGAGTATTTATTTGTGTTCATTGGAGATGTGGTTTATCTCACCCTCCAAGACATTTTTCATCAATCTGTTGTATTTTCTACGTGTTCCCTATTCTTTCCTCCTGGCCCACCGATTTCCCCACAGGGGTCATTAAAGTTTCATCTCTCACCTTGCCTGTGCTTAGTGGTGATCAATAGCCAATGAACTGAGCATGGTGATGGATCAGCACAATATTTTTGTACCACACACACTGACAAAGGTGGAAAAGAGCAGTGGATTTATGTCCAGCCCGTGAATTTTTTACTTCTTCCAATCAGCCATCTTGCTCTGCTATATTTCACCGTATCATTTGCTCTATAAAAAGGAAAAGTTTGAGACATTAGTGCTGTTGCCATATTTCTTCTGACTTTTCATACAGACTAATTTTTGGTCACTGTTGCTGTAGCTGTGAGCTTCTGTTGTAGGCTGTAATTAGATCTGATATTAATAGCCAGCCTTCTGACAGCTCATTATTAGTCAAAAGAAATCAAATGAGTTTCAGACCTCCTGCTGAGGCATCTGTATTAAATTGCCAGGTGTTTACAGGCTTAATTTAAAGAAATGGTGCATGAAATTACTGTTTTCTCTGACACCCCAACTTAACTAGTTCAATGTTGTTACTATTTAAGAGAGTACTTCACTGATGAAAAAACTAAGTTTCAAAATCAGTGCAGCAAAACCAGAGATACCATCTTTCTTTTTTTTATTCTACGCATTCTTCTTCTTCATCAAAACCAGCCTACATTACCCACAATGCAACTCCACCGCAAACAGTTCGGTTGGAGGTTCGGGTGGGTTTATAGTATTAACGGCTTCATTTTCTAACTTACAGTATTCAGCCCCAACTGATGCTGTAAACGGACTTTGGTGTTCCCCTTTAATTGGTTTTGAATTCCCATTGTGAGACAGCGATCAGCCCTCTGATGGTGTTTCCTTTTGCCGTAGGGTATCACTCGTGTGAAGACCAGCAGCGATGTGGTGGGGGCGGTGATGAAGGAGCTGAGGCTGCAAAGCGGGCAGCCGGAGTCAGACTTCCGCCTGGCCGTGGCTGTGGATGGTGTCAACGCCCTGTGGGGAAGATCCACCATCAGGAAGCAGAATAATACTGCCGTGAGGAAAACACTTTCACAGTACTGTCATGTCTCATACTTGTCTTTAGATGGGAAGACTTATGTATCTCTCTTTCTTGCTGTCCATCAGGTGGACCCAGAGGAGCTCACTTTGGTTTATAACCTGAGGAAGCTGATTAAGAACGACTGGGTGAGAAGAACACTAAAGGCGATGACCGCATGAGAATAATATGGATACAGATTATTTTTTTCCCCCCATTAACATTCACTCTTTGTCTCAGACTGGAGGTGCCATTATCACCACTCTGGCTCAGACGGGGGCTGTCTACACTTCAAAATATTCCTACTTGCCTCAAGAGCTGCTGGGAGAGGTCAGAGATCATTTTATTGTACTTTGTAATCTGTAGCACGTGCCCTCAAACTCTAATGACAGATGAGTCTTTCCTCCTCTTCTCTAAGTTGTTATTAGTCAGGAAATTGCAAACCCGACCTTGAGACTGCATCACTCCAATCCTCAGTGGGCAGAAGTTGTTTTTCAGAATTAAGTAAAGCGATACACAAAAATCATAATGGTTATGCTTTGTCGCTTAGTGGTGAACATCCCAACTTTCTGTTGACTGTGAGCCACAAAACGGCCTGTATTTCCAGTAGTATTGCCAGTGTACTGATTACTTGTGACATTTTTAACAAAGGTTGAGTCCCGTCTTCAAATGTGTCCGTACCGTCCCCATCCTGTTTACCTTGTTCATTTTGTTTTATGCTTAAAAGTGAACCCGTTGGCAGCGTTATACTGTGTGGTTGTGTTGTTGCAGTGGATTGCGATATTATTTACAGCGGTCATATTTAGTTGATGTCTACATGTCAAAAGATCAATTTCCTAATGGACCAATAAATCCATCATCTTCGCCCACCTTTTCCATTTGTGCTGCGCAACGATTGAACTGTAAAAGTCAAAGTAGGGTCATATAACATTCCTGTCTCACCAAATGAAAAAAGTTATAATTACATAATATAAATCTTTTAGACCCATGGCTGTGGATCTTGTCTTGTAATAAGTTATATCAAAAATATGCATTATTATGCATGATTTCCTCCCCTTTCTGCATTTAAACTATATAAATATTAATATCTGTAATTGTTTGAACATAAAACAGGTCCTGTGATGCATTTTAAATGATTATATGCATGTCTGTATTTTTAAGAGTTGTTAGTAATTTATTGCATCTATATGTTGTTTTTCTTGTCTTAACATACTATTTAAGGGGTGACAGGGTCTGTGTTAAAGACATATTTGATGCCCAGTGTTCTGACTTCGTGTGTGTGTGTGTGTGTTTTCCTCTTTTAGAAGGGGTTTGACAGCATGGACCCATTCATCCCGGTGTCTGTGCCCAACTACAGCGAGAAGGAGTTTGAGAGCTGTTACCTCTACTATATGGACCGCCACTGGCTGCAGCATCCACAGAGTAAGTGATGATACTGTGGATGCTATGCTTAATTAAATAAATAAAAACTCATTTAAATGATGTTTTAATAACGCTTCATTATTTTTTCCCTCATCAGGTCGAACAGAGGACGGAAAGAAAGAACTCATCTTTCTGAGCAACAGAAATCCATCAATGTTGGACAGAATTTGTGGCTTCCTTTGAAGTTACATGAAGACTCAAATCACACACACAAATATCAGTGTACTAAAAAATACAAAAACATACAAACGCCCATGTCTATATGTCCCCCTCTGTAATTTATGATGCATGTGTGTCACTTTGATAATAAAATGTTGAATAAAGTAAGAGAAGTACCTTTGTTTGTTTTATAAATACAGTTCAGGTAATTATTGAATAACATCAGTTCAAATCCACTGTAAATAACTTTTGTAAAATAAAAACGCAGTCATAATTTTATACTCTGTTAGTATTCAGACTCATGCCCGATGCCTTGGAAAAAGATTTAATCACATTAATTGCTGTTACGCATTATTTATGAATGAAATAATATTTTCTGCCACTTAGTTAGAACAATATCTCTATGTGCAATCTGTAATTGAGATGTAAAACTGGAAGAAAAAGAGCTGCAGAAATGGGACAACCTTGTCTTCAACACGTATTTTAGAGGCGCCATGTTTTAATTTGACCGAGCTATTATAATTTAAATATATATCTGATAATATTATAAAAACATACTCTGTATTTCTTCATCATTCAATTGAAGGTTTTATAAAAAATATTTATAAAAAACAAGTATAACCTTGAATGACATCAGGGTAGTCAAACACATTAATGCCCTCATTCATTAGCCTCGTTTATGGTAAAGCGCCACCTGGCGGCCGGTCAGACTATTACACGGTTGTTCACGTGATACTTCACAGTCACATGACCGGCCAAAAGTCGTATTTGATCGCCAAAACAAAGTGGTTGGTATGACAGATTGGGCCCAGTTAAGGTGACGGTCGAGTGTAACTATTTGAACTAACCTGCAGGACATGCCAGAGCTTGTATCCGGATCCTTCAAGGTGAGATAATCCTCTCTAAAATCATCTCAATGACATGACAATACAATGTGTGTGTGTCAGCTAAATGAAAGGAGCACTTTAGTGTTGTTAACTAGTATTTTTACTATTTTTAATACTGATTTTAAAACATATTTGATGGAATTTAAACTCACAGCCCTGTAGTTTAATCTGGGTTTTCTTTGTTTTTAGATAAAATGGCGTTTTTGTTGCCATCATCTGTATTTGTGGTCCTTGTTTTCCTCAAAGCAGAAGTGACCCTCTGTACAGGTAACACAACACAGAAAACACCTGGTCTGGGTTGCAGTTGTCCCAGTGGTTGTATCCACTGTTTTTGCCTGCATGTGAAGTAAATTTTATACATCAGCATAGAAACAATAATGTTTTTTTTTTCTGACTTCTTCCCCTGCCAGGAAGCACTGAATGTGTTGCCAGAAACTTTGGCCATGACTCTGTGGTGTGTGAGTGTAATTCAACCTACTGTGATAGTGTTGGGTCAGTCTCCCTGCCTCCTCTGGGCCAGTACTCCTCCTACCTTTCCAGCATGGCCGGCAGCAGACTGAAGGGGGGCCAGGCTCAGGTCCAGGTGAAGAGCAGCGGGGCAGGTGAGGTTTGGGCTTTTACAGGATGTCTGTGATGTTGGAGCAGGTGCAAAGCATCTCTTTTTCTTTGTGTGTCTCGTTCAGGTATCAGGTTAACCGTTGTTCCCTACCAGAAGTACCAGAAGATCAGGGGATTCGGTGGAGCTATGACAGACGCAGCAGCCATTAACATCCTGTCTCTCTCTGCTGGTGCACAGGACCAGCTGCTACGCCAGTACTTTTCCCCTGAAGGTATGCCAAGTAAAAGGGAGGAAAAAATAGTAGGGTAATATATCAGAGAAGCATAATGTGACCATAAATCCCAGGAATATCCAAAAAATAATATGCATTTATTATTAATTTTTGTCTGTTTGTAGACTGTATGGCTAAGAGTTACTCAGAAACTGAAGCAATTAACTATATTCAGTTGTTTACATGAGAGCAAACTTTGTATGTGTTAAAGCAAAACTTCAGTATGTAATTCTTTACTGTAACTCCCCCTAACCATTTATTAAATGTTTATATAGTACTTAAACTACGTAACTCCCCCATTTTTCATAACTACTATATAAACATTTAATAAATGGTTATTAACATTCTATATTGTAGTTGTAAGCCGATATATGAATATTTTAAGTGTTTAATGTACAGTATTTGTCCAATTGTGCAACTTCTCCTATGGAAACGTACTTGATATTTACTTAATTATCTGTTTTATAGACCAGCATTCACTTATGCGTGCCCTCGGGAGGAGTTACAGTTGTTGACACTGCTTACAACAACATTATAGTGTTATAATGACCTCAATAATTCATTTGGACAACAGAAAGTTTTACAAACATGTATATATGTTATATACATGTGTCGTTGCTACGATACTGTTGACCCATGGGTTTGAGTAACTGAGTGCAGAGGTTTCCCATGTATCATCCAAATATTTTCTTCTACAAGTCGATCATATTAAATGATCGCACAGGCTTAGCTGTTATTGATGGTCTGTCTCTGGCAGGTATCGGCTACAGCGTGGTGCGTGTGCCCATGGCCAGCTGTGACTTCTCCACCCGTCTGTACACCTATGATGACACACCTGGAGACTACAACCTGGACAATTTCACACTGGCCCCTGAGGACATCAACATGAAGGTCTCTCTCTCCTCCTCTCCTCTCACACATAAACACATGTCCATCACTCCATCCCTCTGATCTCTCTTCTTCTTCTTAGATCCCTCTCCTGCAGCGTGCTCAGGCCTTGTCTCCTCGCCCTCTGTCACTGCTGGCCAGTGCCTGGAGCGCCCCCGCCTGGATGAAAACTAATGGTGCACTCGTGGGGAAGGGCTCCCTAAAGGGCCAGCCTGGGGGCAAGGAGTATAAAACCTGGGCTCAGTACTATATCAGGTGACATGAGCGGCTTTACCTGAATGTGATGTCTCATGTTGGTAATGCGTGATACAAGGGGAACTTATTGCGGTGGTCACCTTTTTCTTTCCTCTCAGGTTCCTTGAGGAATATGCTAAATATAACTTGACCTTCTGGGCCTTGACCACAGGGAATGAGCCCTCTGCAGGACAGATGACTAACTACAGGTCTCTCCTCACATTAGATTACATAGAATCGTCACGACTCTTGAATTTCACAACAGACTGAGAAGCATCTTTGTCTCACTGCAGTTTCCAGGCTCTGGGCTTCACTCCTGAGGAGCAGAGGGACTGGGTAGCTCTGGACCTGGGCCCTGCCCTGCACGCTTCGTCACACCCACACACACACATACTCATACTGGATGACAACCGCCTGCTGCTGCCTCACTGGGCTAAAGTGGTGAGTCCAAGGACGGAGAGATAGTGGGAAAGGTCGTGGTAAACTTTGCTGTAGGCTACACTGGCATTGCAGACAAGAAAATAGATAAATCAATACTAAAATATTTTAATATGATACTTAAAATATAATGCATAATACAATACAAGTTAAAATCAACACAATAAAGAAGATATGAGGTAAGTTAAATGTGGTTAGGTGCTGGGGGAAAGCTAAAATAAGTGTAGTTAACTACCATATGCTCTGGAGGAGGAGAGGGAAGACTCCAAACTACCAGTATATCAGATAGATTCCTGAAGAAAAGTGTTTGTCTTCACTGAGAGGTTGTCACAAGAGTCAAGGACAAGAATAAATAAGGCTTGTTCAAAAAAGCAGATTTCTGTAGAGTTCGAGTTAGATTTAAAGACTTTTTGGTAATAGTCTTTGGGCTTTTATCGTCTTTAATAAGACTTTTTATGACCTTTTTTACTATCCCATAAAACGCAATTTAATACCTGTTTCACGATCATACTAACCAAAGTATAATGGAAAACCAGTGGGGATGATATTGCTATTACATTACACTTTTCAGCACTTCCCAGCAGTATATATATAAAACAATATTCCTGGTGATATAATTAATTATATGAATGATTATCTGGACCCGGATGAGCAGCATAATATGTTTGGATCAATTAACCAGTAGAAAATGTATTTAAGTTGTTGCTCAAATCGAAACTTGCCCATTGTGAGACAATGAGTTAGTGTTGCTAGCAGTAGTGTTTTCTACAGGTGTGATGAAAATCCTATAAAAAGGAATGAACAGCACAGTCCACAGTGGCACAAATCCCACTGTTAGGTGTCTAACGTCTCTCCACAGCCCGCAATCGGATACAAAAACATTTATTAACGAACATTACTGTCTACAGCAGGAAAGAGAAAATATTTGCATGCAATTCATGTGGAAACTCTGTTTTGACTCAAGACTTGTTTCCCCCTGCTTCCTCCAGGTCCTAAATGATGTTCACGCTGGGAGGTACATTCATGGTGTGGCAGTTCACTGGTACATGGACTGCCTTGTTCCAGCTGAGATAAGCCTCGGAGTCACCCATCATCTCTACCCAGAGTATTACCTGTTTGGCACAGAGGCCTGCTCTGGCTGGAATCCACTAGACAGAGGCGTGAAGCTGGGCAGCTGGGACAGGGCCGAACAGTACGCACATGACATTATAGAGGTAAGATCATCTTAGCTTATGCATGAGGGTTATGCCTGTTCAGTCAGATCCAGAGTAACAGATGTGAGATTTGGCAGGCTGCGAGTTGTTTCTTAAAGGTGAATCACCTCCCTCGATGCTGCAGTGCAGGTTTACAGGTTGCAGTCTGTTGCAGACAATCTTCAGAAACTGCCTGCAGGCCTTCAAAGCAAGCTGGAACTGGTGTTTTGTTTCTTCTTTCTTCATTCTTTCAAAGGAAATTGGACTCCCTCCATTCTATCCATTTTGCATGGGCGCATTCAGACTCTAGACATCTTGAGAATCAGGAGGGATTTGTTTATGTAGATGTGCTGTCCTTGTGACATTTAAAGAGAACACCAGGCACCAGTCCAATGGATTCATTTAAACAAAAGAACACCTCTAACTACAGCTACAAAGCACAGGCTAGATACTAAACTGTGGGTGTTTTCTCCACGGCAGGACCTAAATCATTATGTGGTGGGTTGGACTGACTGGAACCTGGCACTGGACCAGACTGGTGGACCAAACTGGGTTAAAAACTTTGTAGACAGTCCCGTTATAGTAGATGCAAAGCGTGATGTCTTCTACAAGCAGCCATCCTTCTATAGCATGGCCCACTTCAGGTAGGAAACTGGGTCTAACATGATCGCACTGAATGGAATATTTCATCTGTTCCAGTATTACAAGGAGTCTAATGAGACACACAAATCATCTTTTTGTTTTGTTTTTTTTACACAGCAAGTTCTTGTGGGAGGGGTCTCTGAGAGTGGGTGTGTCTGCTAGTCAGAAAACACACCTGGAGTACTCTGCCTTCATCAGACTAGATGGCTCAGTAGTGTTCATCATACTCAACAGGTATAACATGGGAAATGTGTTTTTATTCTCTTAATTTTTTGTGCAGATGACAAGAGATTAATTCTACTCTATGCTTGGTCTCTGTAGGTCATCATCAGAGGTCCAGTTTGAGGTGTGGGATCCCGCTGTGGGCTACATCCCCTCCACTGCCCCGGCTCATTCTTTGCTCACACTTGCTTGGAACACACACTGATCATTAAAAGTTGCACATGCATTTGTTTTACTTGAACCACATTATAAATACTTCCATGCACATTTTAACACACCACAAAGAGTAAGCGTTTATGTTGGAACCTTCTTGTTTCCAGTTATTACTCTTACAAGCCACTCAACAGCACATTTTTCTATTAGCTGGTACCAGATTATTTTTTATCTGCACAGCTTTAGTGATTTCATTGGTCACTCATTAACCTCCGCTAATGTGATTTTCATCCACAATCCTTGAAATGTTTTTTTATGTGCCGATTCTTATCAGGAATGGTACCTGAAAGAAGTGAATGTATCACCAGAATGACCTGTGCTGAAGTGTAACTGGTGCCTTGATTTCCAGCTAATAAGATGCTCGAAGTGTCCGCGACATGTCTTATCTCTACAGAAATATAAATAATGTACATAATTTGTAAATGCCTTCTGCTATTGCTATTTAATCATTATTTTAATGTTAAATAAAGAACCAATTGTTTTAAAATATCCAAAGTCAGGTATCTTTGGGTGCAGAGAGGGCATAAAATGTACACAATGACAATTAAACTATGACAGTTTTTTTGTCAATTTATTAATACATCATAGACATTTTTTCATATATATAATATACAGTTCGATAACCAGGTATTTCACATTTGTGTGTCCATTCTCAATGTTTTTTTTTCCTTTGCAAACCATAAGTTGTTGGACTAAAATTATTTACATCAACCAAAAAAGTGATAAAAATGTGAAACAAAAGACAGCAATAAACAGAGGAATAAAATGACAGGGATGCCATCTGTTTATAATATATACACCAGGAGAAGTATTTTTAAATCTAAAGCATTAGATAATGGGCTGCGCTCCATAGATTTTTAATTTCATTCCCTTACTCGTATAACATTTAAATTCTTTCAGATGCAGTAGAGTCCCGAAAGGTGTAAGGAATCCTCCTTTGCTTGCATTTGATGTCACAGTTTTGTATTTGTGGCCATTAAACGGCAGCGACCCACAGTTCAATCAACATCTTGCTGACATAATCTCAACAAAAACTAAACATTATACCCTTCATAAACATAATATTTATTGCAGGGCTGTAGGTGTTGGCGGGTCCAGTCCTTGTAAATGCCAAGAGTGATAGTGACCCCTTCAGTATTCCCATATGCCATACAGGGCTCAGTTGCAGCATTTAGCTAATTTCCCAATGAGTAAAAAGGGCATGGTGTATGATATAAAGTCTGGCATTTCCCCACAATAGTGTATTGCAGCAGTGCATTTCGAGAAAGATGGAAAAGGAGTTTGTGGAGTGGAAGTATTGAAGACATGGGCTTGATCATCAATCTAGGCTGGTTTGTTATTAGGCAAAAAAAAAAAAAAAAACAGAAGAGAGAGATCTAGCAGACCTCATGTGACCGTTAAGACGTCTGTACGGGTATCTGTATACATGTTTGAGGAAGAAGGCATTAAAATAGAAAATAAAAATACAAAAAATGAGATGATTATGACTGCAACAGAGATGAAAAGAGGAAAGTGAGAAGTTTGTCTTCTCGGTGTGTTGTTGGATGTAGGCGAGGAGAACCGAGGGATGAGACAGGTGGGTGCCTCAGAAGGACCATCTCTCCTGTGTGCGGGGGTCCATGGAGAGGGAGGGGGACTCTGATGGGGGCTGGCTGCTGCTGTCTTCTCCGTTCAAACTCTTCCTACACACTGGACATGTGTCATGCTGTACGGCCACAGAACAGAATACAGAGAACATTAGCTTTGGGCAGTTTTAACAAGCAACTCCTTATTAATTATGTCCTGATTCCTATTTTACATGACGCTCAGGCTGTACTGCCAGAAGTATACCTCAGCAAAATTCCCCACTTTTAAATTGAAATAAATCACTGTCCACATCCTTTCCAGGAACTTTCTTTACAATACAGGACAGCACTGGCTCACAAATGGTCATATAATTTAATGGTAGGCCTATTATTGTTTTTCCCAGTTTTATTCCTCATTTTTTAATGAGGTTCATTACAGGCATTTATGAGACACTCTGCATTAGCTTGCTGTTCTCACCACAGCCGATTTTTCTGCAGCGTTTCCGGTGATTTGACTACAGTTTGCCTCTAAACTAAGTTTACACAAGTAGTCTGGGTGAGGGGCTAAAATACAATTCAAATTTTTGGAGGACATTAGATCATTCAAATTTTTGGAGGACATTAGATCATTTCCAGGATATTTGGTCATTTGAATCCATTTCTGGTAGAATAGGGCCACTTCTGTATGGGTAAACAAATCCTAAAACAATCATTTACGAACACAAACACAGCTTTTCACTACAGACATTACTTTAACAGAACCCATTCTAAGGTTAAGGCTGGCAATATTATATATTCCTTTTGTCGACAAATCTCTTGAAAAGACCAAAGCCAACAATCGATTGATCCAACCAACAAATCGTTCCTGTGTAACCAAAGTCTGATACAGGTTATTCCTCTGTGCCATTAGCCTCCATTTGTTGTCCAACAACTATATAAGAACACATCAATGAGCCATGTTCCTTCATTACAATAAACAAGGTAAATGTTTATTCGAGTTGATCACATACATGATCCTGGTGCTGTAAATACTCACTTAATGGTAAATCTTTTCTTACATAGCACTTGTCTACTTTAACAGCCAAGTCACATTACAATTGGCCTCTTATTCACACACACTGATGGCAACAGAGCTACCATCCAAGGTGCTGAACTGCCCATCAGGAGCAACACAGGGTTGAGTGTCTTGCCCAAGGACACTATGACATGTGGCCAGGAAGATCTGACCGCCAACCCAGAGATTAGTGTACTCGCTCTATCTCCTGAGCCACAGCCGCAAAGCTAGCACACCAAATGAATCCACAACTGGAAATAGCCACCAGCTGTTTTAGTAAATGATTTAGTTTTTAAAATATTAGAGTATATATTTGTGAGCAGTTATTAAAAAGCTCTTACGTATTCAGTGTCTCAGATGGGGGACAATGGACTCATTTAGTGTTTGTTTTGGTTTTTGCATTGGATTTTTTGACAATAAAAAAAAAATTTAGAATATCACACATCAGCCCTGATGTTTCCATGTGGACTGCCCGGTAGCCAAAGCATGTGCTCAAATTGCCTCTAGGTCTTAATGAGTGCTGTGAATATCTAATGTACAGTATTACACGTCATTAAGATCCAGTTTATTTTACAAAGTTGTATCTTGTTTGCTGCGACTCACCATTTCCAGCCATGGTACTATACAGTCTGAATGAAAGAAGTGGTTACAGGGTAGCTGTCTGACTGGCTCCCCCACTGCAAAGTCCTCTTTGCACACCGGACATTCCATACAGCAGTCTACAGGAGAGAGGAGAGACACCTTAATTAGCTATCAATACCCCTGTGGTAACTCATTTCTAGTATTATCAGTCACTTGGTAATGACTAGCTAGATTTGTTGAAGGGAGATGTGTCAGATCATTAGTACCAAATTTATGTTTGCCTCATCAAGTTCCTTAGCAGGGTAGTGAAATATTTTAAGGGTACCAAGCATAGATATTGGCCTGATGCTGATAGGGCAAAAAAAAAAAGACATACGGACTATCATTTGTCTAAATACGGCAGCTACCAAAGGCCCTGTAGAAGCTGGGGCTGCAGAACTAACCACACAGTTACAGCTGAGTGGCAAAATAGGACAGCATACACAGAAGAGGAAGTCAAGAAGAACAGACACACAAGAGGACTACGTAGAGAAAAAACAGGGGATGTGAAAGACCAGCAAGGAGCAAAACAACGCCATCTTAAAGAAATTCATGGAACAAACTGTTGATACTCTCAAGGTTAACAGACAGTTTCAGAGGCTTCTCTTGGCAGGCAGCAACAGCATATAAACACACGTGCCTTTTCATGCCGTATCCAAGTGCTGCAGAGACTTCTAAACAAATAAGCATGTATTTATATAATGACAGATGTGTTATAAGCACATTTTTAATTTAAATCACTACTTTAAACTAGCCAGTAGTTACTAAGCACTTAGTGATGCCTTTACACACTATTAGATTAGTTAATAATAGATTCACAAACAACTTTTCCAACCCAAGGTGTGTACATAGCTAAATACAGTACAGTTATTGCATACATAGGATCAGACTGGCAGCTCCAGCCGTGTACATAAGCAGTACTGCAATTTCTATTTCAGGGACACGACAAGAAAGACATGGAGAGATCGAGTGAGACAAATAGGAAAACAATTACTGACCTGCTTGTTCCTGAGAGATATTGACAGTTGGGAGAGAAGAGATCTTCTCTTTCTCTGCTGGAGGAGGTCCTGTGTTCTCTAACTGACCTAGTAACTAAAACACACACACACATACATTTGTAAACTTCAGAAGAAAAAAAAAACAAAAAAAACAAAAAAAAACAAAAAGGTACACGAGGTTTGAATAAAGACCTAATAAATTTGGTTTACCTGTGTTATCACAGCGTCTAACCCTCCCTGTCCCCATGCGTAATCCCCTGGGTTAGAGTGCAGCATCCCCGTCCTGGAGAGACACAGACACCACAAGTTGATAAGAAATAGCACTCACGCTGTGACGCTAGCACTAACACCGTGACGCTACCGTAATGTCATCTTACCATGAGAGGGGAGGTGAACCAGGGACTCCAGAGTTAGCAAAGAGGCCGGCGAGAAACTGTTGTACAATCCTGAGACACAGAGAGAAAATACACAACAGTTAATGTCACCGGCAAAAACAAGAACACTTAGACTTATGAGAGCATAAATAGCACTGTCATTATTATAAGTGGGAGCATGAAGAGTGGAGAGGAGAGCCAAGGGGATGGTAAAGAAGACAGAAGAGGAGAAAGCTGAACAGGTCAGTTACTCACCCCTCCACAGCAGGTGAGCGGTCTGGTCTACTGCTGCCTCTGGACCGGTATCTCCTCTGGCTGTGCAGGCGAGGGGGACGTCCTGGTCCCCAGTGTTCCCCAGCTCCTAGTAGACCCCCCATAGGTCCTCCTAGGCCTGCTGGGACTGACCCCCCGATTGGTCCCCCTCCCAACCCCCCCAGGTCACTGAGACTCCCCAAGCGACCTCCAGGGAGCCGAGGTTCCGAGTCAGGTGTGTCGCTGTCTGTTGTAAATGGCCGCTCCAGTAACAACAGGTGCCATAACTACAGGGATGTTGGGATCGGACGGGGGAGCAGACAGGTAAGGGTTTGAGGGAAAGAGGGATTTTCCGACAGAAAGTGGGATTAAGGATAGGAAAGCAGGCAGCACGACGGGGAGGGGGGGAGCCAACATGTAATAGCAAAATGAAGGACAGGGAAAAAAGGCAGGGAAAGAAGAAGACAATGTTAATCAAAACACATAAAATAATTGCAATCAATCCTCTTTACCCTCATCTCCACCCCAATCTCCCCCAACTCCCTCAGATCAGTTCTTACCTCTGCAAACTGTGTGGCTGTGTCATCTATGCCATTAGCGCCACCCTCTAGGAGACTGAGGGAAACAGCGCACAAGGGGACAAAAGACACCTTATTATTAGAACCCTATACAGAGGTTCGGGGTCAGTGCTAGCCTGGGACAAAAGCCTACAGGCATCCACAGTGCAACACTTGGGTTCTTGTAAATGAGCATGAGAAAATGTCTGACAGCCCATGTGCCTGCTTTTGTTCCAGATCAACACTAAAATGCCTTCACCTCTCATGTTGTTTGGAGACGTGAGGTAGATAGCTAGAATAATATATACATCTCTTACCTGGAGTCTTCTGTTACTTCCTCTATGAACCCTGAATCGCATCTTGGACAGATGTACTCCTAGAGAGAGTCACCACAAAGACTACGTTAACGCAGGAGTCACAAAAGGTTAGAAAAAATGCTCATTAGAATTTCCTAGAAGCCTGTGTGACGTATTAAAACGCCTTCTTTTGTCTGACCAACAGTCCATGACCCAACGATATTGATAGGTGATAACGATATAGAGCAGAGGAGAGCATTCTCACGCTGGAGACTGCTTTCAAAATGAAATAAATAAAAACTGATTATTAAAGTCGCTGCAGATTGTTATTTTCTGTCAATCAACTATACTGGTGATAGGTCTGCGGTGATATGATCTAATTGTATTATGATTTTATTATCCAGTAATTATAAGGAAATGCATGACTGAGGCTTTTGTATTCCACATGTAACATGTTTTGTTTGATGAAACTGAAAGAAGTTCACTGTGTTGTTCTAAAATATTCACATGCTGCATTTGGGGCCTTGTCATATCCTGTGCAACCCCACTTACAGATGCAACTTGCACTATAATATATCATATTAGCATTATATTATATTATGTTTGTCCGGGCGGGGCCTGTGCAATATGCAATATGGCAATATACATGTGCAATTTCAACAATGCACATTTACCACCTTTTAAATGGTTTCGTGCCAATTTAAAACATCACTGTATGTTTTAATAGATAGATTTATGTCTTCCCTTGTGTGTCTTTTTTATACTGATGACTTGAACTCTCTGAGCAACCAAACCGCACATGAGTGTCCTATGTGTGGCAAGCACGAAATGGCAAATAAAGTTCTTTTGAATCTTGAATCTTGCCATATTGTGATATCTGAAAAATATTATTTTATATTTTATCTACCGCCTATTTAAAGCAATCGATAAAGCATTGTAAAGACAATATGCTGACCGGTTCGGTCAACAAAACAACATACTGGCAGTTTGTCTTTGCATGAATAATATCAGCCAGATTTGTATGACAACCAGTGTTTTATGAATGTAGCCCAGGAGGTAGAGCTGGTCTGCCAACCACACCTAATTTGTAGAGTGTTTTAGAAACCACCTACACAGAATGAGGAAGGCACTACTGCCAGTTTGTACAGCTGGATCCTATGTTGTCCACTTACTGTAAGCCATGGTTTCTCAACCAAGAGATCAGAACTGAAGTGGTGTCATTTAATATGTTTTATTTTATAACAGATTTTTTTTAATTTAATTTAAAAAAGTAGGTCACATTTTTAAATACTATATTATATTATGTATATTGTGTTATATTTGGAGGTCACTGGATGCTTTTGAAAACAGAATACAAATGAATGCTTTGCTCAAACTCACATGACAACTTAACATCTCTTGGCTTGGTTTCTAAAAAACAAAAATGTGGATCTAAAACTAGGGTCATGGTCACATCCACAGTTAAAGTGAGTTGTGTGTCATTTGCCAATAGAAAGGTTATCACATCTGTTGTATAAATGGATACATGACAGAGATGGTCCTCTGGATATTCTGTAGTAGTGTAGGGGGGGAAAGACTGGGTGTTGCAGTCCGTTGGCTCAGTGAAGACATGCCACAGGACTGAGTGTGTCTGAGACAAGCAGGCCAATTTAGAGTCAGTGACATGGCAGGCTGGAATTACCCCAAACCATAACATAAAAATAAGAATTCAGCTGACAAGATAATCTAGTGGACTGACTTACTGACATTGTGACTGCCAGCGCATTTAAAATATACACTCAAACTCAAAAGAGTCATACTGCCCGTCACAATTGACAAAAAGCTGACATTTTAAAATGCAATAAAAACAACAGAAACTAAAACTAATTAATATAGTCAATTTTATATCATTAAAAAAATATGAAAACCAGCTTCATCTTTCATTTGACATAGCCTCAAATATACCAAAACTGTCTCTTGATCAACTAAATCAATTCTTAACTAATCATTTCAGCTCTAGTCAGTGTAACACGACATAAGTTAACCACACCACAAACAACAGCTTCCAAATTGACCAATGAGTTGAATTAACAACTCTCTAAGAACAGTTTCAACAAACCATTTTAACCTCCGTGAATCCGGAGTTTCTACCGGGCTGCTGTATTACACAGGATTAGTTTAAGCTAGGTGTACCTAATAAACTGGTAACTGAGTGCAAGTAGGAAACCCTCACGACTGTCCAGTATGTGGATGCATGTATACACCCTGAGGTTAGTAAAAGTCTTGTAAGATGTGGCTCACGTCGGCCTTTTGCTCTCACGTTTGACTTTAAAACTGAAACCAAAATCTAGTTAGATGTTAATGTTCCCTGAAAATTCCCCAACTCGCCCTGCCGCGTTTGGAAATAAAAACTGGACACGAAAACAGCCAATAATCAAACAACTACTGTAAACACCGCCTATAATATCAAAATGACAAGGTAACAACCTTCCTCTCTTCTCTCAGCTGTTAAGTGTTGTTTCGTGCAAAAACATAAAACCCCCCCAAGCTGTCAAAGCAAGGCGTCAAACACAGTGCTTTGACAGAAATGTCCTAAACATGCGAGCCCAACTAAACCTGTAGATATTTGCCTTTGTTGTCTGTTTTTTTTAGGACGGAGACATTTGCGAGTGTCACGAGTTTATTTAGAGAGTTAACAACAACAAACGCTGCTACCTGCTAACTGGGCTAGCTTCGTGTTTTAGCTGTAGCGAGCGAAACAAACAAACGGTGTACCGGAGCGAAGCCGACCTGTCAACCGCACACAGTATACCGGAGAGTGCGACAAGACAACGAGAGAAAACGCGTCTGCCTTACCGGGAGTTTGGGGTTCACTTCTCCCTTACAACAGTGACAGAAAAACCGATGCGGTGAAACAGCCGCAGCCTCCGCCATCTTCCCCCAGAGCAGCACAAACACTGACGTCGGTCCTCCACAAACTGAAGACAGCTGTCCGCCTCCAGCCCGGCATGCACCGCGGCACCGCTGGGCAAATCCGAGCCAGGGAGAGCAGCAGAGCCGGAGAGCGGAAGTGTTCATGTGTTGTCAACGAGACTGAGGCCCGCATGTGTTCAGTCGGCGGTCAGTCTGTGGGGTTGCTTGGAAGCGAGGATCGCCTCTGCACAGAAGGCTCACTGTTGGAAAGGTTTGTGAAACGTGGTGAGGAGGTTCAGATGGCTCGATGTTCAGGTGGTGTTGTTAGACTTCTGTTCAACTGGATAAGTTAGTTCTGTAGGACTGAAGTGTAGCCTCTTGTTGTTGTCACTGAATGGTTGACAAACACTGATCATTTATGTGTATATATATATATACTCTACAAAGCAGCAGTTTTTTTGCAGTGTGGATCAGTGATTTTAGCAATGTACTCACAAACCCACTAAATTACAAAATATATGTAAGGAATGGGCATAATTAAAGGTTGAATGTTGGTAACTTATTGCTGGGCAGTTCAATTGTGTAGCAGTTTCTGAGGCCAGTCTCTTATTGCACTGCCATAAAGTTTTGAGAGGCAAATTAACAAACAAATTATCCAAAATTAAAGCAGCAGAGACCAATGTATTTGGATATTTAGTCAGGTCACTTATTATGGGTCCAACTCCAAAAGTGATTCATCCTACTAGTGCTGAAACAAATTGTTTATTACAGTCGACTGGCAGAAGGAACACCCCCCTGTGTAAATAATAACATTATTATTATTTTTAATAATTAAATTAATGATGCTTCAGAGTCCTCATACTGTGCATGCTGACTCACTGTCGCAGATTTTTGGGACACTTGAATAAATAGAGCCATTGTTAATATTATTAGCAACGTCTGTGCTCTGAGAAAGTCTTATTGTTCCAAAAGATAATCCCTCCTTTGGTGGCAGCCAGCCACTATCAAAACAAAATGCAAACTTCAAATGAAATAGTAAGAAAATGCATCAGAAATACATGAAATGATCAATGTTATGTTTACTATGTATTTATATTTTTAATTAGTGCTTTATTATGAGGTGTTCTGAAAAGTCAACCAGTAAAGCTCAGCTTACAATATATACTAAATATTAAAAGAACATAGACAGTGTTGTATTTACTGTGGATGCAGGTGCTTAATGTAGGTTGTCTGGAAACTTGTAGTGAGCCTGGATGTGAGACCTTTCTTCATCTGAATGTTTCTGTGTGGTTTTTCTATGCGTTTGTCTGTGCAGATGACTGCCCAGGAGGTGCGTCTGTGTGGTCTCCTGCTGCAGGAGCACTTTGGAGAAGTGGTGGCGAAAGTGGGAACACACCTGCTCAAAAGTGGAGCACAGAATTTAAGAACCATCATTCATGAGACTGGGATTTCACTGGACCTGGTACCGCTCCTACATTTACTGTGTCTACGCTTTTAGTGTCTCAACTTCACACTAGGAGAGATGATTATACTTTATGTATTTAGCTGTATATACACTGCTTTTCAGCATTTTCAGGCGAAGTTTAGTGGTCCAGCCGTTTGTAGGTGTAATATTACAGACAGTGATTATTCCACATTTGCAGCAGTAGTGCAGTAGTAGTTTTTTTCATCCGTTTAAATGCAAAACCCTGTGTCCCTTTACATTACTGCTCCAGAAACCTGATTACTTGTTTATTTATAACCTTAGCTGTGATTTTGAAAAAGATTTTAACATCATGTTGCAAAGTAATGTTGCTGCAATGCCAGGGAATTAAAAAAATAATAATGTTACATGTTTTTTTAGTACATTAGTGCAAAGAAGGTAGACATTAGATTCTTTTAGTAAAAGGAAAATCTGATTACTGGCAGTAGCACAAAACATGCTAGTCCGTTATTTACAATATACCAATGTATTTTCTGCCTTTATTTAGTATGATTAGTAACCAGTTTTTCGTGTGCATGTCAAGGGAGTCATGATGGTAAAGCACCTCTTCCATACCATTTGCTGTCTTATTGTAGGTGAAGAAGTCCTTGTGTGTGCTCGTGCAGCATGGGACCTGTGTGTTCAGCTCAGGTCGTAAAGCACCCGGGAGCCCCACCGAGTATCGGACCAGCTGTGATCGGATTCTGAGAATTCTGCGATACCCACGCTACATATACACTGCCAAAACCCTGTACGGTGACACCGGCGAGCTCATCATAGAGGAGTTACTACAGAGAGGTGACATGACCATGAGTAGCACGGTTAAGACAGTCGCCGACCGCCTCACGCAGAACATGGAGGGTCAGTATCTCAGTGTCTGTATCAGTCAAGGACTGTAGGGAACCATTCATGTCTCCACTATTATTGTTTACCAATTACCACTACTGCTTTCTTGGCAGTTACCATAAAATACATACATTTGGCTAAAGGGTAGGAAAGCCTCAGCGGGAACCAGGCAGGATTAGCAAGTGGGAACCACCACGTAACACCTGTCAAACGAGCAAACATCCCTCAAAATATAAACTACAACAGCAATTTCCACCTTGTCTTTCCTGTTCTAGAGGGGCGCAGCATGGATTACAGTGAAGTGTCTTCTGCCTTCTCCAAACTGGTGGAGACCCATTTTCTTCAACGCTGCCCTCCAATGGTGGGAGCAGGAACAAAAGACAGTGCCGCTCCAGCTACCCCTGCAACCCCTGCTATCCCTGGTACTCCCGCTGCCCCCGTTAGCACCGCCCCGCCCACACCAGAGAGCTTCCCCGACTGTTACAGGGTACCTCACGTGACACTCATAGGGAGAGGCAAACGGCGTCTCTCCAATGAGGATGGAGAGGACCAAAGGAATGCAAAGAAGACTAAAATGGATTCAGAGGTGGGTGTTTTGAACATATTAGTTATACTTTTAACACATTTGCTGCTCTCCAGAACTCAAATCACGTATTGTTCATCTTCATCTCTGTCTCTCATCTCTTCTGCTCAGGCACATGGTGATGAGGGGATTTACTGGCAGGTGAATTTTGAGAGGTTCCATCTCCACTTCAGAGACCAGGCCATCATCAGTGCTGTAGCCAACAAACTGGACCAGGTTAGAAGATTAATACCACTGAGAAGATTAATACCACTCTCATGACAAAATCTGCCTTTTAGTACATTTTAAAGCTCTCTAATTAACATGTTATATCTCGCCCACTGTTTGCCTGGCAGCCTGATGGTGATGACAAGACTTTAAACCTTTGCACAGGGTAAACAAACAAGATATTAGTGAGCTTTAGAGGTGATGGTAGGCAGATTTTGTTACCTTTTAGACCGAGTCAGGCTAGCTGTTCACCCCTGTTTCCAGTCTTTATACTAAGCTAAGCTAACAGCTTAATATTTGCTGTAGAGATATGAGAGTGGTATCGTTTTTCCTATCTTGCCTGTTTTTTTATAGTAGGACCTATTATTATTATTTTTATTGTTATTATTATGGTATGACTTTTTATAATGATTGTTCTAAATCACTTCATCTTAATAACTCAGACTAGCAGTGAGATAGTGAGGACGATGCTGAGGATGAGTGAGGTGACGACCTCGCCCACAGCCACCTGCACGAAGCCCCTCTCAGCCAACGAGATCTTCAGATCCCTCCCAAGTAGTTACAACATCCCCAGACCCATCTTAGACCAGTACCTCACACTGCTGGTTGATGACCCGGTATGACCGTCTGCAAGGCACATGTCACATTTGCCAATCTTAATTTTTAATCTACAAGATTTTTTTTAGATCTACTTGTCCTTTTCATTTTCTAGATGGAGTTTGTGGGGAAGGCTGGTGAAAGCGGAGGAGGGATGTACGTCGTCAGTATCCTTTTTCGTTGAGCATATTGTCAAGAACCAACACATGTAATTCATGAAACACGTGGTTTGCTTCTCTTAACTCACCTCTCAGATCTCCACAAAGCGCTGGCCAATCTAGCTCGGGCCACGCTTGAGTCTGTAGTACAGGAGAGGTAAGTGAGTGTGTGTTTTTAAAATCGTCTTTATGTGCGATTGTCCTGTCATCAGCAACTCATTATTCATTTAATCACTTTTAATCTGTCGCCAGATTTGGCTCCCGATCAGCACGCATCTTCCGTCTGTTGCTAAGGAAACGTCATCTGGAGCAGAAGCAGGTGGAGGATTTTGCCATGATACCAGCCAAAGAGGCTAAAGATATGCTCTACACGCTGCTTTCACAGAACCTGGTGCAGCTGCAGGTACACGCCTGACACGCGAAGATGCTTTCACAGCTCCTCTCTTCACATTCATGTGTTCTTACTAAGCTATTACCCAACTCTGAACTTTTAAACTCTAGCTTCCAAAACAGTCCTCCCTCTTAACTGTTGCCAGAAATAATTTGTAACTTTGACAAAAAGAAGAGGACATCACTGTGATTAAATATACAAAGCAAGTTTCAAGTCTCTTCAGGCCAGGAGTATTAACATGAGTGACTGCCTGGAACGTAGGAGTAGTCCAAAAAAATCTGATCCAAAAACCTACTTTGAAAATTATCTGGCACACTTTTTGAAGATGCACTAAGTGAATGAGTTATTTTTAAAACTAGACCTACAAAGCATCGCAACTTAATCTTTTATTCTGTGGACAATGATGGAGGAGGAATTTAATATTGACAGTTTGAACAGGCACTCTTAGATGATTTGAGTCATCAAATTTGAGGAAGCAGCCGTAGTTCTCATTCTTTAATCTACCTACTCATTCTCTCTGAACAGCCATGATATTTTTGTATTCTTCAGGAAATCCCAAAGACTCCTGACTATGCTCCCTCTCGTACCTTCTATCTTTACACCGTCAACCAACTCCCAACTGCAAGAATGCTGCTTCAGAACTGCTACAAGGTAAAACAATGCACTACTAATCAGTGGACTGCTGATTTTTTTTACACCTCTGTATCAGTATCTCTGTCAGTATGTCTCTCTGTCATTTTTCTGTGCAGACAGTAGCCAACCTTATAGAGCGACGCCTGTTTGAGACCAAAGAAAGCAAGTGAGTTCATTATAATTTTATTTCAAGTTTTCTCTGTCTCACTAGCTGCGGTTACATGGACAGTATTTCTTTAAGCCGACTATAGTCATTGTGATTAGACAATAATAAATAAAGTGATCTGATAAGATGTGCAGTTACATGTTACATGTTTACTCAGAATGCAATGCTTTTCTGACATCTTGCCTGCTGTGAAGTGTCTAATCTGCCTGAAATATAACAAACAACTGGTCCTGCATTGTTTGGGTCACCTGATGTTACTGATATGCACTTATACAGTGTGACATCTTGTTTTAGGCTACGGACCCTTTTTTCTGACTGGGTAATTATTCAGATTTTCAGTGGAATGTTATGGTCCATGTAAACGCAGCTATTGTCCTCGCAAGCCAGATTTATCATCACTTTATCATCATAAAAAAAATCCGTGTCACAGATCAGTGGTTGATTGGTTTTCTGCTTGACTGGCAGGCGTCTGCTGGAGAAATCCCAGCGAATCGAGGCCATTCTAGCATCTCTGCAGGCAAGCGGGGCCGAGCCTGAACAGCTGACGGAGGTCGAGGAGATGATTACCGCTCCTGAAAAGCAACAGCTGGAGGCCTTGCGGCTTCATATCAACAAGTAGGAATAAAAGAACAAAACTAGAATTCCCTTTTCCACAGGTGACATTATTGAATCAGGTTTTTGGTTAGTTGGTGTTACCATTTTCACTATTGTTCTTTTCCCCTGCAGGTTAGATTCAGCAGAAAACCAGGTAGATGAAACCATCTTTCTGCTAGAATCGTACGTCAACTCCACTGCCACAAGTTGAGAGCAGGTGTACAAGCATGAGAACTCACACATAGTACTTGTGTATAATTGCTGTCAAATATGTTTTAGATTATATAGCTGCAATGTTTCAGTTTGGATTGGAATAAATTCTAAATAGTTTTTTTTCCTTGTTTTTATTGCATGCATCAGCAAATGAATAAACTGAGTACAAGAATACTTATTTTCAACAGGTTTATTCCATTAACACAAAACTGTAAGACAAACATTGGACAAAGTGATCATTTGAAATGTAAAACCATAAAGATGTCTGTATATTAAATAGAAGAATTGTGGTTTAATACACTTTGGTTTTTCCTTGAAATTAGAAAAAGATTATTTACATAAGTGCTCCCGACCCTGGAAATAGTGGGTAGTGCATTTCTGTTTAACCCTCGAGGTGCTCTCTTTGGTCCTGGAGGTCCCTGTTGCGTCTGTGTATCGAATCCAATCCCAGTACTATCTCTGTGCCTGGTCTGAGGTGGACTCGCCTCATGTGTTATTCGTCATGGCAAATGACTGTTGTCATGGCAGCAAAAGTAGGGCTCAGTCCTCATGGTTCTCATCCTCTCCTCTCTGTTTGCGTGTGAAGAATCCCAGCTGATAAGAAGTGAGATATAGATTGATATTCTGGCCACAGCGCACTAATTTTTACTGAAGAAATTTGAAGGGAAATGTAACATGAAAGTACCTTCCATAGTATGAAAATGATAAGGGCCAGTAGTAGCAAGCCTCCAATGATGCTGCCGATCAGAATCCACAGCGAGATGGGAATAGCTCTGCCCTTTAGCACCTCCAGTACAGTCTACAGAAAAAAATAGATGAAGGGAGAAATTAGAGAAAGTAAATGCCATTCTTCCACTTACAACCACACTGCAGTCTTCTTACCTCCCTCCAGACTGTTCCTGTACCCAGAGTAACGAGGTTAGTCTCCTGAGCTGCGAGGCGATAGGCACCTATTATCCTCACTGACTTATATTTGGCCTACAACAAGAGACACACAGTGTGTCATAGGACAGAAAAAGTCGGTTGTAATAAGCGTCTGCGTGGTGTTGTGTAACTCACTTTTCTGAAAAAATCATCATGAACTCTCCGGCTGACGCGAATGACGGCCGCCTGGCCTCTTAGAAGCTGCTGGACTTTGCACACAATCTCCGTGCACCATGACCTGCTACAGTTCTAGATACAAACAAACAGCATGTTACCATGTGTAGTGGCACTGCACAGTGTTCAGTGGCTGCTGTGCTACCAGGGGCCTCACCAGTATGTCATCCTGCATCATGTCTTCAGGATGAAGGGAGCGTACATCCCTCTGTCTGGCCTTTAGCTGGGCCAAATCACTCAGCACGCTGCAGTTCACCCCTGTGGCCTAAGGAGCAATTTAAATATGTCAAATATATTCTAAAAGAGAGATACAAACACTCACGCGGAAGCACTACTCACGTTGTATGAAAAGACATCAGTGACAGTCATAAAGACTCTGTCTCCAGCAGCCACAGAGGGCAGATGCAGCCTGAGCTCCAGATTACTCACTGAGTAACAGCCGAGGTTCTGCAGCTACAAACGCACAAACAAAAATTTCTCTAATTGAGTCTTTGTTTTTTAGAGTGACTTTAGAGTTTACTGGGAGATTTACAATAACTTGAAGGTTTATAAACTGAACATGGAATGTGGTCCACAGATTTACCCTGAGGTGCGTGAAGAACTCTGGTCCAATTGCCTCTGACACTGTCCGAGTGGGGTGGACCTCATATCGGTTCAAATTAGAGTCACTACACAGAAAAACGGGGAAAACATTACATTAATACAATGTATTTAAAGTAACTAAAATATCTGATTGTTGAATATATACAGTATTATGCACACACCTGCTAACAAACAAGTCTGGTTCATACTGAACAAAACTCTGCAGCTGAACACTGTTGTCCTCCAAAGTATCCTCTCTCTCCACGCTGTCGCTGTAAAAGAACCAGAGGGTTACATAATCTGTGCTTTTCACACTTTTAATCTCTTGTTATAGAAACCATATTAAAAACCTTATGGAGTATACAGAACATGTTGCTTTGGGGAGCTACCTGTCAGCATTAAGCTTCATCTGAACTCTACTGTGCAGAGATGTGCAGCTGAACTCAAACTCCAACATGAAGTTAACCTGAAAAATAAAAAGAGAGAACAACCTGCTGAAGTGACACATTTCACCTGGAGGAAGTGAAGTATGAGTGGGCTGAGTCGAGAGAGTGATGGAGCTATTTCCTCGGCATGGACCTACTTTTGACTGGGAGCGAAATACTGGATAGCTGACATTACACGAGTGGCTGTTGGCACCAAGGGCTGTACACTCAATCTTAAAGTGGGCATCCTCCTACATCAAAAGAAACAAAAGTGAGAAACAGAAACTGTGCGTTAGTTTGTCTTTGTAGGTCTGTGTAAATTGTATGTTGAGTTATGTGTTAGCAATATAGGTGTGTGGTTTACCCTAATGCTGAGGCTGGAGAAGTGCAGGTTGCGTGAATAGTGCAGCGTCAGGCTGGTGTTGTAGGCGTTTTCCAGTCTGTTCTGAAGCTGCACCTCCACCGCCAGACGCCTACGAGGGCTGCGAATCACATAAGGCTTCTGTCTGTGGAGAAAACACAATGAAAAACTCACTGAAACCTAACAAACAAGCAGATATCTATCAAACTCATGTGGAAAGAAAAGAGAATAGAGGAACATCTCAGATCTGTACCTTGTCCCAGAGATGTCCATATGAGCCTGCAGCACCAGATCTGTCGTACACACATCATCCTCGCCACAGTCTTTAAAGAACTGGATCTGGAGAGGCACACGTGGAGAGGACAGTGTGTTTGATGGAGAAAAAAAGGGTGGAAATGTGGTGCAGTAAGAAAGTTGTTAACGATAACAGTCAATGCTGTGCCACTCACAGATTTCTTCACAGTTGTTGGCCAGCCTTCATCCAACACCGGACCACTCTCTGTATTGTTGATCTTAAACCGCAGTGAGAAGCTAATTGGACGGATGTAATCTGCTGTGTCCTACAACAAAGACAGAAACAAATGTGATAAATTAAAGTCATTCAGTTTCTCCTGTTGTACCTGTATGAATTATGTTTTCATGTTTAACTTGTGGTTGATGTATGTGCAAACACTCACATAGACATGGAAGGGCAGCTTATAGCAGAGAGTTTGTCCTGTGTGAACTCGGACTGCCAGCTGGGTCTGCCGGTGGGAGCTGTCGTCAAACAGTGCCCGCGCAGACAACTTCCTGTCGTCCAACATGGCCGACACCCACAGATCTGAGGAGGGAGCAGGCAGTTGAGACAGATGGTGAGTGTTGGAAAATTCCCATTCTAATTATTTGTGTGACTGGCCAATTCACAACACTTACAGTGCTTGTTGTAAGGCTTAGAGAGAGGGCATGTCTGTGACTTTGGGGTTTATGAATAAATAAAGCGTTATACCAAAGCTGTTGCTGTGTGGTCCAGGAGAGCGGGACACAGTTTTGAAGCAGGCAGTGGCATTGAGACAGGCTGATTCTCTGGCTCCCCTCTGGCAGGTCTTCTGAATGACGTTGATGGAGTGCGGCTCGAAGGACAGACTCACATTGATCTGGACTATACTTCGAGAGCTGGGGACAGGAGGGACAGTGGAGGATAAAACATGATTTAATTTGCAGCCGTGTGACACCATAAAAATGTAGAAGCCAGTAGATGATTTTAATCTATATGGGAAATTAAATATAGCTTCTTTTTGTATGATTTATTTCCTTTAACATAGAAATTAACTGGCTGTAGTTGCATTTAATGTGTTGTCTAGCTTCCTTATCTCCCAATGCCTGCAGCTATAAAATAGAATCTGTTCTGGCAATGCCCTTCTCTCCCCTCCCGAATCTGCCTCTACCCACCTGAGCAGCACAGCACTGCCATGTGCACCCACTGCCAAGTCTATTAGATCATCTCCGTCCAAGTCCAACCGAGCACTCACACTGCGGCCAAAATACTGCAGGGAGGGGGAAATCGATGACCCTGGAATACGCTGTGAGGCAGAAACAAAAACAGAACTCAGTTTTAATGAAACCTGAAATACACGAGTGAGAATATATCTGTGGGCAAATTACAAGTACCTGCTTATAATTGTGGATGATATGAATACCGTCTCCATGGTAGACATAGATGGCCCCCCTGTGTTCATCCTCCAGCGGGGCTCCCACCAGTAGGTCAGTGAAGCCGTCGTGGTTGAGGTCTGGAGCGGCTGCCAGTGCATAACCAAACCTGGCATCCTGGGTCTTATCCTCAGACTTCAGAGTACCATTAGATACAAACTTCTCTTCCTGGGAGAAAAAGAAAGAAGAGGGAAGGAAGATAGAAAAGTTGGAGGGTAACATTCAGGGGATGAAAAAAAATAGATATTGAGAAAATTGCAATGAAAACAAGTAAACAACATAATCTTGTAGTGATTGCATAATACTCCATAAGGAATGATCAGTGCCAATGCTGTCTTACCCCACTGAGGGAGTAGATGTAGACTTTACCAGCCTCCTTGTTTCCTGAGCCAAGGAACATTGGAGCTGCAACCAGAAGGACATCAGTGATGCCATCCTGGTCGATATCGAGCCCACACACCTCGCTGCCATAGTAAGATCCAATCTACAGACAGAAACACGCTCTTTCAGCTTACTGCCAGTAGGTGGAGCCCTTGCTTTAATCTCTGCTGTTTTCTGCTGTATTAAATAGATAAAAGTGACTGAAGGGAGAGGAGAGACTCATGAAGACCTGTTACCTGTTCTCCATTGAGGGCCTGTACAATGTTGACATTGCCGTCTTCACTGAGTTCAAACAGGATGACTTTGCCTTTGTGTTTGAATCGAGGAGCCCCAGCAACATACAGTCTCCTCCAGTCACCAACTACCACAGATGACACTGTGTAACCTGGAAACATAAATACACATCATCCAATATTGCAACCTAATCTATGGCCTTCAATAGAGAGAGGTAAGAGTCATTACTTTAAATCAAGCATACTGTCTGTGGTTGACCATTTGGACCATGAAAATCAACTTGCAGAGTTACATGTTCGTGCAGTTTAAAGTGTGGTCTGACTTCAACCTACTCTGGTGTGGTGTGTTTCTACATGCTGGTAGAAAGCTCTGATGTGAGATTTGAGAGATAAACAATAAGCAAACAAGGATGTTTTAGGTAGGATCACAACTAACTTTTGCATCGTGCCCCAATTGCACAGGTTTTCAAATCAGTCCAAGCTATAGTACACAATAACACAATAATCTGTGCAATAGTAACACACGCAAAAAGTATGATCCTGTAGTGTGATACTGTCATATGTGGGTACCTAAATAAGCAGCATGATTTTTGAGCTCCAGTGGAAACTCGCTTTTAAAAGCCTCTCTGGATGGCGTTATGCGTCCATTGATCCCTTCCTTCAGCACTCCACCGTCCCAGTCATAGGCACCCACCGTCCCAAACAAAATGCCATCCTGAAGAGCAGAAAGGGGCATGTATGAAACACACAGTTGAAACGCAGGTAAAGCAATTCATACAAAGATGAACAGCTGATCAGACTTACATCCAGTGTGTGTGTGGAGAAGCCGATCTGAGACATCTCCATGTGGAACGAGCTCTCGTTGTAGCCCAGTGTGCCTACAAGCAGACAGAGACAGCAAGTCAGTCTTCTTCATTGTCATGTTTCTTTACACATCTCCTCCCTTCCTTCCTCTCCCTCTCAGGGTCTGGTCTAGATGGCATCATTAGCCCCTCACTCACCATGAAGACCACAGGTGGCAGACATGCCTCACCCTTTCCTTTCCTCCTGTCCCTGCTTCTCTGAGTTCCCCAAACATTTAAAGGGTGGCATCACTTTTTATCAGCCTTCCTCTCATGTTCCCGCAACTATTGTGATAGCTGTACACTCCCTCTACCTTCTTTTCCTTTTCTTGCTTTCTCTGCAGAACTACCGTTTATTTTTTCACATGGACCCAATCCCACCCACTTAAATATTCTTTCTTCATTTCTGTCTAACATTCTTATATTTCATTCTTCCTCATCTAATTTACTATTACTATTAATGTTAATGTTATGTTATAATGACCCTTGCATTAATGAAATCCCAACTATATATACACAGTATACAGTAAATATCTGTATTTTTATGCTTTTATTCTTTTTATGCGTCATGCGACCCAACTATATTTACATCTTGATGGATTATTTTCAAATGAACCCTACTGATAAATCATGTGGTTTGCTGAGATTATTGGTGCCAATCATGAGTGCAACATTGCTGCTTTCTTTCTTTTCAAACATCTTTCCTTCATTCCTCCACAAACCTTCCAGAGTGAAGATGCGATCTCCCAGGGCATCCACAATGTCATTGAGAGCGGCTTCATTAGTCACATTGAAAAAGTATTTGTCATCAGGGTCGCTGGCGATAAACTTGATCTCATTAATGAATGTCTCGGGGTCCTGCTGCCGACGGATGTAATGACCCAGTACCTGGAGCCCAGCGTGAGAGAAAGAGAGAGGGAAAAATACTTTAAAAAGAGACAATACGGTAACTGAATAAGCAGATAACAATATAACATTGAGGGATTAAGCTGGAGGCAGAGAAAGGGGGCGAAAGCGAGAAAAACAGAGAGCATAAACAGACTTTTTGGCATGAATCAGAGGAATTGCTTCCCCATGTTTCTGAGGGACTGTGAAGAGAGATGAAACAAGGTTCTCAGCAAATCTTCCAGCAGTATGAAGCTGAATCAGGTGCGGATCAGGAAAAAAAAAAGGGACTGGAGCACACTGATGGATTTGCTGCCTGCAAACAGACCAATATTTCAGCACCTACTGTGTCTTCATCATTGAAATTTGAGGGAAGAGAAGAGAGGGCCAATGTGTAGCCGTTACACACCAGATAAACTTAGTTACGTCGTGACCTGCCGCCTTTTGCAATATATTTGCCAAACCTCAATAGCTGTGGTTACTAGTCTTGAGTCTCCCTAACTACAATAGCCATGGATTCCAAATCTAAAAAGATAAAAGTTTTTTTACAGAGAAATAATGAATAGTGCGTGGATGTGTGTTTGCTTACCACCAACGCTATTAGCTTTCTGGTGTGCTATATCCGCAGGGATTTTTTTGTTGTTGCCAAAGATGGCTTTTGATAGTAAAGGTTGCTAACCCCTGATATAGAATATGATGCATTGCTGTAGATTAAACTATCCAACAGTAAATAAAGTAGTTCTAAAATTAGCTTAACCATAAACATCCACAGCAGTGAAATGCAACATGCACATTAATGCACAGTAATGCAGCAGTAATATTAAACCACAAACACCATAATAGGCTGATAGTAAAACACTGACAATGACCATTTTTCTGCACAATGACTACTTTTACTTCTTTTAATTGCTTTTATTATAGCGACAGCTGAAGACAGACAGGAAAGGGGGGCAGAGAGAGAGGGGACGACACACAGCAAAGGGCCGCAGGTGGGACTCGAACCCTGGGCCGCTGCAGCACGGACTCAGCCTCAGTACACGGGGTGCCAGCTCAACCAACTGAGCAGACTGGGCACCCCTTTTTCTTTCACCATAGTTTCTCCTGTATGTTTGGAAGGCTGAGCTGTATTCAGATGATGATGTCACTCAATCTGACACAGTGGTACTTTAAACTGTCACTAGATTCCCAGAGCCCAACTTGATGTATACAGATTGCTTATTTTGTCTGACCATCAGGCAGAAAACCAGAAGTTAGTGACTTACCATGGTATGAAACAGAAAAGCAACAAATCTTCACATTTCAGAATTTTTCCTTTTTCTTTTTTACTACCATTGATTTATTTATTTGTTGATTTGTGTAATCAGTAATCCACAAAGTGGTTTGGTGCAGTGTTCTGGCACACAGCGAAGAGCATAATTTGTGCAAGATTGCTATTTTTGTTTTATGGGGAAATTGAGGATGGAACTAGAACACATTTGATAAATGATC